TATGTAAATTTTACGCCAAACAAGTTTACTTAGAAGATAAAAGTGGGTTATCTTAGTAAAAAAAATGAGTTGGCTATATAAAAACGTTAAATTTTTTATTTAATCTATATGCAACTTTTTTTTTTATTAAGACAATTTATTTTGGTCTTTTAAGTAAACTTGTTCAGCATGAAAATTTACATACATATACAGTAGTTCTCCTAAATTTGTTTTTTCAAACCTTTTATTAAGTAAAAAATTTAATTAAATTTTACACAAAAAAGTTTTTTAAGAACAAGTTTACTTAAAAGACCAAAATAGGTTGTCTTGATAAAAAAAAAAAGTTGCATATAGATTAAATAAAAAATTTAACGTTTTATATAGCCAATCATTTTATTACTAAGATAATTACTTTCGTCTTCTATGTAAACTTGTTTGGCGTAAATTACATATAATTACAGTTTCAAAATTAGAAATTTCTTTTATTCATAAAATTCTAATATACAATTTTTACAGAATTTTTAAAAGTGGTCTAAATAATCAAAAATCTGCAATGTTTAATATACTTAACTCTAAAATTCAAAAATAAGTTAATATGTAAGTTGAAAAGGATCTTGAGCTTAAAGCCTATAGAAAGTTTATATAGTTTTTATTATAATTTATCATTCTATGCAACATTCACTGACTGTTAATGTATATGTTTATGAATTACTACTTGATTGGACAGTCTTCACGTGATGACTGAAAACAGATTGTCTCTAAACGCGACGCGCTGACGATAACTTCTTTCACATGATCGTATTCTTAATAATACATATCGTGAAAATTTGTTAAGACTTCAAAATCCGTCGTATCCACTACAAAATTATTACCGAATCTTCAATAAAAATATTCTAATATAATATCATAAAACTAAAGTAGTGTAAAGCCACAACTCATATAAAGACACTATGTGATTGTATGTGATTGGCTAACTAACGCGATTAGATTATTTGGGTGAGTTCATGGTTGTTAGATATTGTTTTGGGATGATAGTTTGGCGTAGACGTGTTTTATCAAAATATTGTTATTTATTTGATACACTGATATTAATGATTCGGAGCTTTTCATATATCTATATCCATATTGTAATCAATAATTAAGAGTTGGATGATTTTGATTGACGTGAGTGATCCTCAGTGATATAGGCTGAATCATTCCAATGAGTTATAATGACGGTTAACAAGTTACAATTATAGCAAGATATGATGCCATAACTATGATTAAAATTTTTTCAGAACCTTATGATTAATTTGTTCAAAAATATTAGCATCTAAAAAACAATTTCCTTAATCTGAATTAAAATCTTTACATCATTTATTAAATAACTTTAATATAAATTTGCTAAATAAGAAAGTTATATATATTGTGGCAGGATTTGGGGTCCCCTATTTAAATCTATAATACCTACTAAAATTCACATGTGCTCTTTTATTAATAAAACTACCCTAAACACTAACATTAACACTGAAAAAAAGTGTACTAAAAATGCCCTAAAAATTTTAAAATTTAATAAAAAAAAAATACTGTAAAAATCCCAACTTGAGCTACCACAAATAGTATCGGAGAACTATTCAATTGTAGATTCTAACATTTTTGAAGTATCCTGGTAATAATCAGGTAGCCTGGATCAGTGTACTGTACGATCAACTTACACGATTAATACTCTCTTCAGTATATTTCCGTATAGTATTCCTCTTCACACAGTACCCCCGGGACTATAGTGCATGATGACGAAAGACGCAACCTAAACCTCAAAGACGAAACCTCTGACGAAAGTCGAAACCCCAAATTCTTCTGACGAAAGACGAAACCTAAACTTAAAATGACGAAACCTTACGCTCAAAAAGACAAAATCCTAGTGCTCCCACTAAAAAAAAAAAAATAAAAAAAATAAATGTTATTTTCATTGAATTAATATTCATAATTATTCAGCGATAAGTATTCGAAATTACTTGTATGCCAGCAAAAATAAATCAATTCATTTTTTCTGGACAACCTTAGGGCTGTTATAAACTGGTTGAAACAACCTTGTAAAAGCCATAGTACTCATGGAATAACACAAATAATGAATTATACTGGCACAAAATAAATTCTAAGATCACAAAGTACAGTAAGCACCAAGCGATTTCTCATTAGAACTGATATGTAGTGTACTAGTACAATACAATACATCTAACTCCCTCTAAACAATTCAAGCGCCTATTAACAATAAAACTTTAGTAATTTTTATAAATTTCTGTTTTTGTTAGTTTATTTTTTTATACACATAATCTTCTTTACAGTTTCATCAGTTTCGTCATTTAAGATTTTAATGACGAAAGACGAAACTAGGTTTCGCGTTTCGTCAGCGCGAAACCTCGAGGTTTCGTCTAACAACTATACCCGGGACATTATTTATTTTGGCATTTTTGAAAGACTGGAAGTACCGTATACAACGATAGTAAATTTTAAGTTACAGTTATATTATATACAGTAACTAAAGGCGTATACACAAGGTACGATAACTAGTTTTTTAATATAATAGGTCCCAATGTTTCGAATTTTGCTTGCACTTCTAGTTTTCTATAATAATTTTATGATTAATTTTAATAACGAAAAATAAAGATCATTTACTACTCTAAGTATCTAGCTATGCTATTCAAGTTAATGAATACTTGCCATCGCTTTTAATTGATTTATTTCCATTAATTTAGAAGATGAATATACTGCCACTTACTCAGAGTTGTTGCACCTTAAATGCTTCAATTTGAACCCAATTGACATTAAGTTCTTAAAATAAGAACTTGCATTAATCAAATAGTAATTTTCAGGCAGATGCGGAGGTGTTAAGGTAGCAATTCCAGGCAGGTGGCAACTTCAAGCATATCAATATAAAGATAATTTATGGATTATTTTTTTCAATCCGGGTTATCCAGATAGAACATTTATGACGAACTACCCAATGATTCCTCCCCGGCTAAGTTCATGAATATATTTCACGAGTAAAAAAATAAATATTTAAAATAAGTTATTCAAGTTTATGTATAACTTTTAAATTTCATTTTATATTGTTACTGGTAAGTACGTATAAAGGATGGCAATAAAAATTTTTCACCTGATACCTGGGTCATGAGATAACGATGGTTGCCGCGTCACAGAAAGCTAATCAGTGATATGAAAACCAGATTATATAATGTTTTGTATTGCCTTAGGATTAAGAGAATGATTTTCTTCATATTTTTATTACCCTATACTAATTAATATTTTCAGAAAAGAAAAAAGGGAAATTTGTTTTTTATTGATTTCCCTATCTATATATTAAACTATTTATATAAAAAATAGTAAGCATTATAAACAAAAAAATATAAAGTTAATAAATTTTATTAGTTAAAAATTAATACAGTATTATATACGTATAAAAATTTAAAACATAACTTATTTAGGAAAAATAAAAACTATTTATAATTAATATTAAACTAATCGAATATTCAAATATAAATATTGCTATTTTCAACCATTTCGAAAACAGTAAATTTTGTATTAGGCAAATTAATTAATTGGTTTTTAAAACCTGACTAGAAAATCTTAAAAAAAATTTATATATATTTTAATAACCAGGATTTAAAAAATTTTAAATATGAATTTATAAATTTATATAGTATATAAAGTTTAAAAAAGCCGGTTAATCAGGTATATTTAAAAAAATTTGTATAGTCTTAATATTAAAAGTTATCAAATTAAAAATATTATTAACTACTAGGTTATTTTTGATAAATTTGGTTTTATAAGGTTTAAATATAGTTGTTTTGTTATACAGTATAATAAAAAAACATGCTTATTGTATATAGCTTTAACTAAAAATTACTTTATACTATATAAAATGATATTTTAGCTATTAATATATTATATAAGTATGCATTTTGTATTTAAAAACCAAATAATAATTATAGTATTAGCAATTTCGTATTTAATATATATCATACTGTATTCGTAAATTATGTTCTTTAATTTTTGTTTTTAAAATATAATTGATAAATTTTAAAAAATTATTTATTATACAGTGAAAATGCGATAACAACTAACTTTTTAATAATATAAGTTCCGCAAAGCGAAATCCGGAATTTTTTGATTTCAGAAACAGACTTGTCAAATCCCTTTTCTGAAAATAAAATTTTAACCTCTAATAAATTGCAAATACTATTATTATTAATAAAAACATTTAAATACTGTGCTACATACTAATATATTAAAATAATACAGTATATTTTATAAACTTTAAAATTATTAATAAAAAGAAAAAAACTAAATGGTGGTCCCGTGCACATTGTGCCCCTCTGTGTTATATTTAAAATTTGGATCAGGATTAGGGTAAAATCGCGAAACTATTTTTTTGTTAGGGTTATCCTAGTAAAATTTTGAAATATTAGAAAAAAAACACAATGTCATAATGCACCATCTAGTCTAATTTAATAAAAATAACTAATTCATATATAAAATCTATTATATTTTTCAATTGTCTTACCCTAATCAATTTAACATATCAATATCGTTTTATTTTATACAGTATATAACTATTAATTTAAAAAAAGCATTTATCAAAACTTTTTTGTATCACTTCTATACTACAATAACTATATAAAGAATATTTTAAAATCACACCTTTTTACATAATAATTATTTTCTGTATCCTAAAATAAAATCCTATATTGTTTATACATTTAAATTAGATTAATCATGTATAAACCTATTCAATAAAAACATTCAAAATCTAAAATTTAAGCAAATTTATACTTTTGACCGGTATATTTATATTGCTTCATTCAGCCAGATTTAATTAGACCATTGCTGAAACAAAGAGCGAAAGTAAATAACAATATACATACTATATACCGCTAAAAAAAAAAAAATTCATGGATACATGCGAATTTTTACAATTCATAATTATCGCTTTAAAATTATTAATGTAAAAACATCCATTGTTCGAGCTTCAATTTGAATTTTTAAGTAACATGAACAACCTCATCCTTACTATGTTCATAAGAAACATCATTTTCATCTGTTTCACCAACATTTTCAACAACTTGGTGATCTTCAAAATGAGATAGTTCATTATCTGTTTCATATCCACTATTTGTAGTTTCACAAATCGTTTGTTCTGAACTAAAACCATTTACAAAAGGTAGAGAACGTGCAGAAATAAGATTATGCGGCTGTGCCGCGGTCATTGGATATCCAAAAAATTGTTGTTCTAGACCGAACTCTGGTAATGGCATCATTGAAGGTAAAACAAATGGTGGTGGTAAATGACCATAAGCGTTAACATACGCATCACGCTCTCCTGGTACACATGGGGAACAGTGTTGATGAATATATGGTCCGGGTAATATAGGATGAGGTAATGTGGCCGGGTTTTCATGTGGATCATCACCACCAATTGAATTATCATGTCCAAACCAAGCAAATGGTGGCACATAAGAATAAACAAGACCTTCTGGCGTATTGATTAATGGAGGAAGGTTTATATCTAACGAAACGAATTAAAAATTATTAATATTATAAAATTAATATACTGTAATTAACTCATTTAACTAACTAATTAAATACCATTAGGAATGTTGTTAAAACCTTGAGTGATTCCACGTAGATGTATATTCATTGCTGACAGATCAAACGGTGCCTATAAAGTTGCATTAGAAGTTACAAATTCACAAACTTTTAAATCAATTGTTATAATCGCAACATCTCACCATTGGAGGGGCCCTTGTATTAAATAAACAAATAAATTAGTTAATTAATCCGTTTAAATAACTAGAGGAATATTCTGATTTAAACATATATACCCATTTAGAACATTCATAGTTGCATAATTCGTATCATAGCCAGGATTAGGTCCTTTATTTTTAATTGATGACTTTCTACCGCTACTTCGACGGTTAGAACTTGAAAGCCTATCAAAAGATTTAGTACCACCTACATTTCCAATATTTGATACAGATGCAGGGCGCATATAACGGTTACGATTCGAAAATGGCTTATGGGCAGCATTTCCTGAAGCCCGTTCAACTGCAGCTTTCGACAAAGCTGGTGGCCTTAAAGACATTCGAACATTATTTGATTTTTCGTAGGAAGAAATAGTCTGTAATGCTCGCTGTCGAACTTCAAGCTGTTGTCGCAGCATTTGAATTTGATAATTACGGTATTCAGGAGACTCACGGTACTGCACACGAATTATTCTATCAAAATATTTGGTATTGTTCTATTATGAAAAATAGTGTGTTAATTTTCACATACTCAGATTCCGTTCGAAATTCTTGATACTCACCTCGGCTTCAATTGCTTTTGTTGAAGCATTTTCGTCATCATAACGAATAAAAGCAAAAGCCGAACGCACTTTAAAAAAAAAACATATTTACATTAGTTATAAAATTATCACTGAAAACATTTAGGACAATGAATACCATTCATGCGACCAACAGGTCCAGGCTTTTTTATAGTAACAAGTCGAAGATCTTTAATTTCGCCGTAACGGTTGAATTTTTGTTCAAGCACTTCTTTAGTTACAGCGTCTGGATTAAGTTGTCCAACAAATATAGTGCCTTTATCTATATCACCGGGACCAGGTGTTGCTTTCTCAAGATTTGCTGCCCATTCAATAACGTATGATGAGGTCCGACGCAAATTCTTTTTAACAAATATGAAAAAAAAATACATAATTTCAAACAGTTAAATTTATATTAATGAATAAGTAATAAATAAATAAATATATATATACCATATATGCGCTGATGGCATCTTCACGATAACAGAACTTCACGAACGCACATCCACGACTTTGGCCTGTTCGATAATCTTTTAAAATATGAATGTCCTCAGTATCTCCATAAGGTTCAAGAAGTTTTGTAATATCCTAATTAAGAAAGTGAGTTAGCATTGAATAAGTGATAGTAATGAATAATAAATTCAGCTTACATCTTCTTTCATATCGCGACTAAAGCGACCAATAAGTAATGTCCGATTGACTTTTGCTTTTTCAACGCGAATATGACGTCCATCGACGATTGAATTATGTGCTTCAGTTAGAGCTCGTTGAGCATCTTCAATGCTCTAAGTATTAAACGCGTAAATAATCAATTTAAAGCGCGTCGTGTATAAATCATATGTTAAAAATAAATCAGATAAATCAAAAAGAATTCAAAATAAACCAATTAAATCTAATACCTCAAACTGAACGAAAGAATAAGGCCGATTTAACCAGTCGAACAAAACCTTAACATTAAGAAGAGTACCCCATTTACGGAAATGGTCTGCAACAGCTTGTTGAAGCTCAATTTCCTTTTTGTTGGTTGGTAAACTATGTATTGATAATTAAATTTTTAAAACAAGTGTTTTTCTAATTTTTAAATTTAGACATACGGTTAAAATACGCACCTTGCGACAAAAAGGCAACCCGCTGGTAGACCACGTTTATGTTGGCCCTGAGATCCAGATTGAAATAAAATTTCGTCCTGCTCGTTATTGATAATTGATTCTGGTTGTTCCGAATTACGAGATACAGCTACGACGTCTTGTCCAACGGCAGTTGGTTCTTTTACCGGCAAATCTTCAACTTGTTCAGCATTCGAGATCGACGCGATCGTATTGCGCTTGATTTGATCTGACGTAGAAATGTTCGGTTGTTTTTGTATAGATAGAGCTTCTGCTTGTTTCATGGTGTCCGCCGCCTTACAGTGAACTTTGTTTTCAATAGAATCGTTAGGAATTGCTGAATTGCCACGAAAGTCATCGTTTTCGGCCACATTGAGAATTGATTCTGTCTCGGCAGTTTGTTTTGCCGAATCCATGGGAATTTTTCCATCTTTGATGGTCAAGGAATTTTGACCAACCTTTTGATCTATCTCATCTATAGTAACGCCCTTATCTGAAAATCAATAGCAAATAAACTTGAATTTCAAAATCCCATGGTATACACACACCTGAATTATTACGCTTCTTCTTGACTGCCTTACGAACGACTGAAGTTTGAGTTTGAGGTGATTGATCCATTGCTATTTACAAAGAAGCTCGAGAAATGACTGAAATTTAATAAATTATGTCAGACTAGTTCGAAAGCTAGCTTAAGATAAAAAAAAAAAAACTCATGACGCGCTTTTTTTTTCAAAACACGTTTCCATTTCAGAAGAATGCTATTTTAATGCGTATTAAAAAAAAAAATAAAATAACGTGTCCAGAAATTCCTTTTATTAAAGATACTTGCTTGTTAATGATGACAAGATCTTTCCACAAGTGCCTTCAGACTGAAAGGCATGAGAATATGAAGGCGAGGTTGAGTTTATAAGAGAATTTTTCACTCCCTTTTATCACAAACAACGTGGTACAAAAATGAACAACATTGAAAATAATCTCAAAATGACATCATTCACTAATAGCTGATGCATATTTATTATTTAGTCATTTTATTTGACTGTCATAAAAAAAAAAGATTAGTCATACAATACTCCTAATTTGGACAAGTTGTTGAGAACCTGAGATGGGTGCACTATATGTCATAGCTCATATCTCATTTAATCTATTCTATCTCAGTTTAATTCGAATTGCTAATAACTTCACGAAATTTAAACACATTCTTATTCTTAAATAAACTAATAACCAATCATTAAGTTACTCCGTAAACTCGAAGAATACAAAAAACTACATAATACAGTCGCCTCTCGCTATAATCACATGAATGAAAATTTGTATAAACATATTAAATTAGGAAATTAAGCGTAACGGAAATCTGTTTTTTTATTGGTCAATATGGGATCATCAATCAACTATTAAATAGCCAATCAATTAAAATAAACGTTGATCCAAATACAGTCACTTTCGATATAGTGAACCCTCGATATAGTAATTAAAATCTCGATATAGTGAGTTAGACTTAAAGCCGGTCTATATAAAATTCTCTCAATAGTGAACTTACTATCAAAATTCCCGATTATTAATGGAACCGATCATTTCACTATTACGAGACGTGTTCCAAGATACATGGAACGATTCAGATGTTTTTAATTTAATTAAATAATTGATTTATGCTTAAAACCTAAGGATTTACCATATGATTGCGTGAGAATAAAAACCAGGAAATAATTATTTCCTGATTTTCACTCTCACGCACTCATATAGTATATATTAGATTAATGAATTTAACTAATTTTGATCACCCTTTATTTTTATAGAATTGTATACTGTATAAATAAATTATTATTTAAAGATTAGAGTTAGAATACAGGCTATATTAAGTTAGAGTGTAAATTGTTTATATGTAAAATTAGATACTGAAAACTTTTACTTAATAGTAGTTTTTGTAATCAAATTTTGCAATATTGATAAATTTTTTAATTTTTTTAAAAAAGTTTTTTTGTTTTATTATACAAGATCCTATGATCTAATTGGTAAATCGTAGAGTAGTTAACATCACCAAAAGGCAATTTTTTTTAAATATAGTCAAAACTTTTTATAGTCACCTTCTATATAAGTATATTTTCTTTATAAGCATATTTTTTTAAAAACAATCTATTATTAAATATAATAAATTTATCTTTTTTTTTTTTAATGTTAAGGTGGTCTCTCTAGTTTGAAAACTTTTTATTAGATAATGTAGACATTTTTACAATTCAACAAGAATATATCAAGTCATATATACACTTTTGGTGTTTATTAAATAGTTTGCCCAAAGGTTTTATACTATTTGCCATACCTGCATCCCAACTATAAGTGCTTATTTAAATACTCTAATTACAACTGCTAACTCTTATCAAACTAATTCTAAATATTGCTTAGTATACAGAAGTGCATTTTGCTATTTATCTATTTTAAATTTTTGTACTCTATTTTAGAACTTACTAACTTAAACTAGTTTATCTATAAAGTAAACCTAATAGTATAGTATATTTCTATATATATATTTATCTGCATGTTTAGTAACTTCTTTTTAACTAGTATATAATACTATATTCATATTTTATGCCATTCTTTGTAATGTTATTATTTTATGATTACTTAAACTACAACCTTTCTAATTAGTTGTAAGATCCGAGGGAATTGGGTCAAAACTAGCTTAAAGAGCATAAGTGACTTTTACTTATTTTTCTTTAGAGTTTAAATAAATAAATTATCTTTTATTAACTTAAGTTGCTTTTTATATACAGGAAAAAGCCTATATATTTATAAAAGTTATATAGTGTTAAAAATATACAATAAGTTTCGAAAATAAATTAATCATAGATCTTTTAACATAAATATTAATATATTGTGGTATTAGCTATAAGGCTTATTTTTTCCAGAAGCATAACTTGTAATATAAAAGGCATAAATATAAATAAATAGTAAATAACAAATAAATAAATAAAGAAGTAAAATGATTGTTATGCTAATACAATTATTATATTAATGTAAATACTATATAGGGTTTAAATTATTAATTTTAAATTTTCTAACAATTGCTATATGTTTTTGTGACCCATTAGATGCGTGATTATCTAAAAAAAAGATTAGCATCATGGGTTAATGTGGCTTATAATATTAGTTGTTTATTACTTACTTCTTGATTTATAAGATTTATAACAATTCTACATTAGCAAAATATAGTGTAGTAACTTAGTGTAGTAGTCTAGTCATCACTTTCTCCAAGTGGCAAGTCTAGAGTTTGAATCCCACAAACAACAATATTTAAAAAATAGGTCTAAGTTCAGTTGATGGTTATGTTTATTGGTTAGATCTAAAACTAAATTTGTAACTTCAGTTATACTATCTAATAATAGGAGCTTTGGCATAATAAACCTAAGAAACTGATATAACCGAAAACCTATTTAGGAAGACCCAAATTTGGAGGTAGCAGTGATCTTTGACGATATTACAGAAGGGCTAAATTTAAACTATGATCCAAGATTGAAGAACTAAATGACTAGGTTCTATGGCAGAGAATATACTAGCTAAACTACTGGGTTGTCGCACTAGAGGAAAAGGACATATACTTTGAAAGTATGGGCCAAAGAAAGGGCATCTTTTAGATACTTAAAGCCTAAGCAAACCAACTTTTCTAGATTGCTAGCTAGAAATAAAGGAGAAACATAAAAATCTGGGTAAGAAGATGGTTCAAATGTGAGTATCAGAGTTGTTGTGAACTGAATAAGAGCAAGAGTATATAATAGATATCTAATTAGGAAGGTTGGTACTTGAGAAATGTCTGTAAAATAGCAGCACCCCAAAAGGTAGTATGAGATATATATACAGAATGGCAGGCCAATATGTACTAATTAGAAAGCTATTACAGAATATGTAGGTGAATATATATATGGAATATGTATTGCTTTGTTAAATTTATCTTGAAGATAGATTAGCCAAAAATGGTTAGGAGAGCGCCATTTATCACCTGATTTTTTAGAGTAGGAGGGTCAATCAAATATCAGGTTATATATATATATATATATATATATTGTATATATAGCTATATATATACAAGATAATAGACTTCATGTACTACATATAGATCTGAATCTTGTACGTATATATATGGCAGTTTAATATATTAGCTATTACGTAGTACATACGTACATACGTACATATGTACCCGATATACCAGATACGTACTACCAAATTTTATTGTATGTACAAATTTAAAATTTTGCTCTACATTACTTACATATAAACTATTTCTTAAATCCTTTTTCATATAGTACTATTATAAAGATCAAAGCTTTAATGTCGAGTTGTTACTTTATTTAAAGCAAGTACAAAGTTGAAGAAGCATACAACTAGTAAACTATAACCTAATCAAGAATTTAGTCTATATGCTTATAGTTAAGTAGTAACCGTTGAATTTTAATATTTGTGAGAGTACTTAATAACTTTGCAATTTAATTTTATTATATAGAGTGGAAAAGCTATGGGGTGAAAGAATTACTGTGAGATCGGTTGAATTTTAACATAAACTTTGGTTGATATGCCATCCCAGTAACTTAAGTATCCAATTTTTGTATTTATTCAGTTTTGTTTTTTTAAAATTTATTCTAATATTAAGATTTTTTATGTTAGTTTAGGTTTATTAAATTTTTGAGGTTGAAATATTAAAAATACAGTATATACTATTCAACGTCTGATTGTATTTCTCGCCATTCTATAACTACTTGTGGGTTCGATTGTAATATGTTTTCAGCATCATTGAAAATAACTGAATGTCGAGATGGACATCTATAATTTGAAGAGTGCTCATTTCATTTGTAATTTGTAATGTACTTGAGGGTGAGAAAATACTTACCACATATATTACAGTATAGTCTTTGATGAAGCTCATGTGGAATAGATAGACAACAACAGTCATATAGTAAGATTTTGAGCTTATCATAGTATTGCAGAGCATATATAGGATTAACATAATGTTGATCTTTTGCTTTCATAATAGGAGGAAGAAATCCATCGTTTTGATCCAAAAGAAGTGCAGCATCAGGTGCTCTATATTCGCTGCAACACCAAGAGCTTTTGTACTTTTTTATATCTAACAAATAACGACATATTTGTGTATGATTCTCTATCCATTCCCATGACGTTGAAGATTCTAATTCTGCAAATGGCTGTCTTATTTGGTCTACATACTCTACTGGAACAGGTTTGCCATGTATTTTATCTCTTCTCCATATATCACACAGGCTATTTCCTACAAATTCAAAATTTCTACATGCTAAATCTTCGTCTAATACATTCCCTTGGCTATCTAGATGCGAACCAAATTTATCAACAGGTAATGTGATGCCTACAAGCTTTTTAGACAGAGAAGCCATATTACGTTCAACAGGGTTATACGCACTCTGCCCAGGGGCATGTGTACGAATAGTTAAGTAATCAAGATCGAATTTACGAAAGAAATTACAATACTGAATTATATTTTTCATATGTTTTGGGTTTTTATCAGGTCCTTTGTCAACAAGAAGAACAAGAATGTATTTGATTTTATTCTCTTTCATTAGGGCTCCAGCAAACTGTTGATTAGAGATAATACTTTGAAGGTTTGACATGTGAGTTAAAGATGATGTGCAAACAAAATACTCAGGCCTAACAAAGATTGAAAGTTGTCCTAATCTAAGACTATCGTTTGAGTTGGCTGGATCAATAATGAGGTAAACAGAAGGTATGAGTTTCATTTTACTACCAACTGGAAAATCGTGATCGGCAACTAAAATGGGTTCATTGACGGTTTGTAATATCTTAAACGTATGCCCAACTGTGAGAACACCTAAACCAACCTTCGTTTTATTATCCTAAAAGATGATAACTGTGTCATCAGCAAATACTTCAGCAAAAGTTCGGGCAGCCTTAACGGATGCTAAGCAATAGTGTTCGTCAATGTAAAGTTTCATTTCTATTCATGATACAGAGACAAGAGCGACCTTAGCTGGGTGGTGATGTCGACGCGCCACAAATATATATGGATGGCGAAGCTCAAGATATGTGAATATGCATTGACAAGATAAGTACACATTATACTTCTCTTCTAAAGCTTGTCGGAGGTGTTTTATAGTACGTACTTTGATTACAACTTTTCTTCTTTTCAAGTGCGCACTTCCAAATTCAACGCAATCATGAATTTTATTCCAAAAATCAGGATAAATCATCGCCGCTGATGGCCTTTCAGGCCCATCATATTTCTCTACTATACCTTTTTCAAGCAACTTCACTTTTTTTTCTGTAAGTCTTGCTTGTAATTCAGCGTGGCGTTTGAGTTTTCCTAACCTCTTTGTTTGCTTTGTGATTATTTTTTTTCATTAATTATGCTTAATACTAATGTTTCTTTAAATGATTTATCTGTAGAAATGCTATACATTTGTCAAATTCTTTTATTTTTTTATTAGCCGCATTTATTTTTTCAACTGAATCACGCTGACATACAGCATTTTTAGGTAATTCTTCGTCATTTGGTTGCGAAGATATATTCCTTGATATGAAAGATGAAGTATTAATATAATCTGAATTATTCAGATTGTGTTGTGTTAATTTTGAATAATGAGAATAGGTATGAAAAGGGATAGCACTAAAATAGTCCCAAATCTTTTCATTGATTAAGGTTTTATTTTCCTGCTTGATTTGGTTCCATGTTAGGTTACATTCTTGCATTAATTGTTGACGATTTGGATTTGGGTTGCAAAGAGTTACTTGTTTATAATATGCGTATGCATTACAGAACTTATGATATAGGTTTTGCGGCTCTTTATAAACAAAAGTTTTATTAAATTTAGGCGTTGATAAGAAGCTTTGCATCGTGGATTATTATAACTGCTTTATTATCTTTAAGGGATCTGTTATAGGGTAACGAAAGAAATTATACTAAAGTGAATGCCGTAGGTACGTTATTATCTTCCGTCCACACTTTATAATCCAACTCTTTAAAGTTTTTTTTTTCTTTTTTTTTAATGCGATATAATATGAGAAGAAGGTCGATTTTTTAATAAAAATTATTTAATTTTGATAAAACATATATGATAGCAGAAAAAAATGGTTATAGTGGTTAGGAGAATTCATTTAGGAGCAATTTGAATTGGGCGACAAGGTATATTCGTAAAAATTAAAAGCGTCTTTTAAAGATACTTTGCAACTACATTTATTTAAAATTTTACTATTTGCACAAGACAATAGAATAAGCGATTACACGGTATTTTTGCAGAATTTTTTTCAAATTAGTTTCGATTATAATTGCAATTTTGGAAGACAATGCCTTTAGTTTCATGTACTATTTCTATAATTTGCATTTCAAAGTTAGAGACAGTTCAGGTTTAAGAAAAATCTTGGCAGCACAACTATAGTAAAGCTGATTGATGAATTAAGGTTTTCTTTATTAATCATATATAATCTTGAAATAATCATTGATCAAAATAAGCCTATTGGGCAAAGATCATAATTTTTTTTAGTCCTGATATGACACTGATTAATGGCTCGAGTTGTGTTATTTCCAGGTTCATATCGAGCTAATAGAACTATTAGTTAAATATTAGAAACCTGATAACTTTTATAATTTTACCGATCACTCTATCAGTTCTATATGAACCTAGAAATATTATGATTCGAGTCATAATCAGTGCCATATCAGGACTAAAATGCTATAATACTTGTCCGATATGCTTTATTTCGACTAGTGAATACCCGGAAACGTTATTTTGAGATACGCAAAAAAGCTAAGAGAGCTAACTTAGCTGAAGGTTTTCAAAAAATAAATTATTGATTTGTAGTCGGCTAAATTAACTCTTAGCTTTTTTGAGTTTGAATTTGTCCAGGTTTGGCACAAATATATCCATATGCCAATATAAGTCTAAATAGTTGGTTTGTATGTTTAAAGTTTAGATTTTTTTTGCATTTAAATTTTGTCTTCTTCGAATTTAAAATATAAACTATTCTATAGCAAGCGTGATATGAAATTTAAATAAATAAAAAATAATTTGACTTTCTAATAATAATATATATTATGTGTAATAAACTTATTGCTATTAGGTAGCCGAATATACATAGTATATATTGGCATGTAATCAATTAAGTATGTACATACATATGAGTATATAGTTTATATTACGATTATGTTAGTTGCCCTGGTACTGGTATTTCAAGTGAATTGCTTAAATATATTATCTTGGTGCTAGTATTTATAATTTTCTATATAATCAAATCGGATACTAATTACCCTAGTATTGGTATTTATGATTCGAACTATTTAAAAATAAATTTCTGCATGTATGCATATATGCATGTATACATATATTTATATCGTGTGAACAAAATATCAATGATATTGTTCTTATTCGAAATTATTGTATGTATTTAGATGGTTTTTTTTAACTGCTCTATGTATCTTGTTTAGTGTGTTGAGGTGCATCGAATAAAGCCCAGATTTGTATAATAAGAGTATTTTTTGTGTTATAGATACAAAATAAAATTTCTTATTATATTATATAATAATGCTATTTTAGCCAATCAAAATTAAGATCAGGTAGGGAGGGGGGTAAGCTACTAATAGAAAAATATCACCTGATAAATGGCCCTCCCCTTAGTAAGTTCTAAGGCAGTCAGTATATTCTTTGCAAAGATAATATTCAAAATCTATACTAGAGATATTAATGGCTTGTTTAAAGCTAGCTTAGCTATAGTTTTGTAGCCAAGCTATTTAAAGCCAAGCTAGCTGACTTAATATATCAATATTGTATTATTAAAATATTATAGAGCTATAGCTTTGAACTACAGCTTGAGCTATAGTTTAAGCCATAGCTAAAAACTGGCTTATAAAATTTGATTGTATTTAAAAAATAATTAACTATACAATATACTTTGTATTTTAAATTTTGTTGTATCAGTATAACTAAATTCTAAATATTAAAAAAAAAATACCAAATACATAGATTTCAAACTCTTTCCGACAATTATCTGTACCAAAAAATCCAAACATATTTTTTGTAAAAACACAATAGCATTTAGTAAAACACAGAGAGCATACTAGTCGCTATAAGTTGGTAGTTGTTATTTAGAAGTAGTTTTCATATACTACTTGCTAACTTCTTCAGAGTTTATCACTCACTGCAAGCACAGCACTTGTCGTTTAGAAGTAGTTCTCATACACTACTTGCCGACAAGCCGAAAGTTTATCACTCACCGAAAAGAGAGTATAGGTGTCCTACCCCTTTTCTAGAAGAAGATTTAGGAGTTGTTGAGTCTTTACATGGATGTAACTACTTTCCTTGGGTGCAAGTGGTCTCTCCCTAGGTGTTTTTCACTCAGCCAGTCTTTTCCAAAATTTTCGACAAAAAGTGGGCGATTTGGCTTACCCACTCCAAAAGATTAGCATTGTTTATCTCCCAAATTTAGATGTATTCAGGAATACAACCATGTGCCTTGTTTATCAGTAGATACAATACGTAATGTACTTTATGGATATGGGTCCTTCATGTGACTGAGATCGGGTTTCTGGTATAAGAGGCATCTGAAGATGGCCAGTAGTTAGATAAAAATTTGTTAGATTTTATAGTTGAGATATACAAATGTTGCAGTTGTTATAAAATTTTTTCTTAAACCTGGTATAGGTTATAATAGTGTACTTTTCTTTTTTCTTTCATTTTATTTGTACTATTTCTTGATAGAGGTAGTTTCTCCTTTGTTGGATCTTGGGCTTTTTTCTTTATTTTTTCTTTTTTTACATTTCATTGTACCCCCTTTTATTTTTCCTTTAAAAATTTTCTTTTGTTCTATTTGTTTTTTTTAGTTTGTTTTTCATTTTGTTTTCTTGATACTATCAGTGGTTTTGTATTAGATATAAGATTATCACTTTCTTTTGCTCTCGGTAAAAAAAAAGAATATAAAGAGAAAAGCTTTAACGGGTTAACAAAGTTTATCTAACTTGTATACAGGTTGGTGCGACAAGTCGCATGTGGGCACGTTTTATCGTAGCCAGGTGATGTTAGACTTGTAATTACAAGACTCTCTTCTCTGTTATGGTTATAAATAATTTGTATTGTTCAAAAGAGTTCAACTCTTATTTAAAATATAGTCTTAATAAATTGAGCACTGGCAAGACTGTCAAAGAATTAAAAAAAAAAAAAAAAAAAAAAAAAAAAATAGTTAAAAAAAATAATTGAACAAATTTTAACTAGCAAATAATTGTATATTGTATTTTTATTAAAGGTTAAAATATTTATTTTTTTAAATCTTTTTTTTAAAATTTTATTAAAGAGGTATCTATATATAATGTTATATACCCCTACATAGTAGCTCTTGACCCCCAAACTATATAAAAAATTTTTAAAAATCCATAAGTTTATATATATAATTTTACAAAAACTTGGATATATTATGATCCAGTAATTCAATTAGAATGATTTTGGTACTATTCGATTCGTCTCTGTGAGACGAATCCAATAGTACCAAAATTATTTTATTTAGACTACTTGATAACGTTTTATCAAATGATTTTGGTACCATTCAACTCCTCTTCTTGAGAGGATTCTAATAGTACCAAAATCATCCAATTTGGACTACTGAATCAAATTTTAGACAAATTTTATAAAAAAATTGTGTTATATTTTGGGAGATCCCCCTAAATATTAGAAAATCATTATATTTTGGGAGACTTCCTCCCCCCTCAAGTATAACATTATTTATGAATACCCCTAAATATTATAGCTAGCTTCAAGCTATAATTTAAAACTATGGTCTAAATCATAGTTATTAAGCTATGGTTTAAGCTTTGAGCTATGGCTTTTTAAGCTAAGCTTAGCTAAGCTAGCTATTAATATCCCTAATTATATATAAATAGTAAGAAAACCCAGAGTTAGATGGTTAAATGATAGCAGTTGGAACTAGATAGTTTAAATAGATATCCTCTAGCTAGGGTACAGATATAGCAAATAGTATAAAACCTTCAGGTAAACTACTTAAATTAGATACCAAAAGTGTATATGTAGCTTGATGTACCATTGTTGTAATTGTATAACATCATTTTAAATTCTAATAAAAGCTTTCAGGCCAAAAAGGTCTTCTTAACATTAAAAATATATATACAAGAGTAAGTGAGGCGCTGACAACGCTTCTTTAGAAATTATGTTTTTGATTTCAAAATAATCATATGCTTACTAATAGTGAAAGTTTAATTCAAATTAGAGAACTTCTAATAAACTTTTAAGGAAAGATCAAAGAATTTTTCAGATTTAATGTCTCTATGCTACAAAAAACAATTTTGACAGATAAATTTTGCATATTTTATTTGGTTAATTCACTAGTTAAATTAAAAAGAGCAAGAATGCAATACAAATTTATGTGGTAGTTTGCAAATTATCGTTAATTTCATTATCAAAAGTTACTATTTTGTTTAATAGTTTACTATTCACACCTCAATTGATAATATTATTTATATATGCATTTCTATAAAAAAAATTAAAGAACACAGATTATAATCAGATCATTATTTTTTAAAAATGAATATTTTTCATAATAAGAACCTATATTTTAAGCTTTTTAAATTCCTGGCTATAATTTTTTTTTCTGCGTAAAATTATATTCAGGAAATCTGAAATATTTGAAAAATTTCAAAATATTTGGAAGTTTAAGAAGGTTTTAAATATAGGTTCTTATTATGAAAAATG